TATTTAATTCACCCGCAGAGTAACCATATCAGTCAGTCGCATTATTTAATTCAGCCGCAGAGTAACCATATCTCAGTTGTAACAAAGTTTTTAGCGCTTTACAACTGATTTCATTAATACACGTCAGCGCAATCCTACGTGGCGTCAATTTTTGCTTACGTGACATTAAAAAGTAACTGCATTCTTGTAAATACATTTTTTCTCACAACATAATAAAATGGCACGCTGGATATTAAAAATAATAGTAATAAAAAAAAGTTTTGTATGGTTTTAGTAATATGTCCTAAAATATATAACATTTGAGTAAAATTCCCTTTAATTAAGTGGTGGGTCTTGTGCTGAGAATTAAAAGTTTCCTTAAATCGTAGTTATACTATTGTAAATTTGAAACTAAAATTGTAACCTATATGCATTCTAACAAAATATGGGACTCTAATTTTGTAAACAAAGTTGCCAAAGATAAAAATCTAGTGCAAATGCACTCTGAAAACATTCTCCAAACCATCACTGTCATTATCAAATCTAGTGTTAAGCTACTACATTTTTGAGTTTCTTAACAACAAAATTCAATATATAAAAATAGTAACCAGTAAAATTTGACAAATAACTAATAACATTTTAAGATTCTCTTTTTCTCTTCTTCTTCTTACAATATATACATGTAGCTAGTGTTAAGAATTCACAATATCCATTTTTTTACAATTTTAAACTGATTATATAAATAAATGTCTGTGTGTGTGTGTGTTTTATGTACTTCTTTTTATACCAGAGAAACATATGAGAAGAATAACATTCAGTTCATAAATTTTCATCACATAAAATAAAGTGATGATGGGTACGTTATTGCGAAATATAACATGTAATAAAAAAGAGAAACTAGATAAAAAAATATCTGTGCTTTTTAATTATCTAGTTAATATTTTTATAATAGGAAGGTTCATATCCTCCAGACCACACTTAATACCTCAAATCTAAAATCTAAGAATTAACAAAAAAAAAAATTGAGCAAATGCTAAATCTTAATTAAAATGGTGTTTTTATCTAAAACTATGCAACTATAAATAAAAATTGAGTATTTGCTATGTGCATTATTTTTTTGTATAAAATAAGATATGAGTACCTATTGTTAATTTGATATTTAAAATGTTGAAAAGGTGACAAAAATGTAAAATAGAAACGTCTATTTTGTTTTGAAGTAGTTATAGCAGATATGAGGTTGTTAATTATGTATCAAGATTTCTGAATATTAAGTGTCAATCATAATTCTGCAAAAGTTATGTAAATAATAAAACATTATATAATGACGTACTCGCCATATGAACACTACAAATTACGGTCATGGTTTTAAAATGTATCACCACCACACAACGACGCATGAACACAAAAGCGGAAGAAGACATAAGCTAATTATTATGTGTAAAAGGAGAAAGTGTGAAGCGCATGAAAATGTTGAAAATAAATACAAAGAACGCATTAAATCTTTCAAAATGTTTGCAGAAGAGTGGGTGAAATTTGAGTCAGAACTTAGAAGAACCGAGACAGACAAAAAACTATTTTTGAGTAAAATTATGGAGAAAATATGATAGTCTGATGAACTCTGACACATTTGTTTAGAAAAATATATGTTTGCTGAAACAAGCAATGAAATAAATTCGGAATAACGTGCAATTCAAGTAATCTTTCAATGATAATGTATTCAACTATTCATACTCCACAGTCTTCCCCAGGGTCGTCCACAAACATTATAATCAATAGTACAAAAAGGGATAATGTCGTTGACAAAAAAAAAAAAGAGGAAAATGTCCAATCGTGTTCAACCATTCATCTGTGTTGGTTTAGGAGAAAACTATATAAAATCTAAATCCAAATTAATCATAGTTTCGTTCATGCTTTGATTTCCTAACATGATTTTCTTGAGAATGTGTGCACAACAAAGTGTTCTTGATTATTTGCTGGTAGTTTACCTATTTAAATAACGTCATATTTAGCGTCTCTCAACTTACACTTAGATTAAGAGGTTTTAATATAAGCTTTTAAATTGGATAACCCAAATTAGGATTAAGACATCTCCAATGATTATCCTCATTTGTTTTTTTTTAAATGATACAAATTCAAAATGAATTTCAGTTTTGCTCCAATGCTTTGTTTTATTTCTCCATCAAAAGAATTTTTCAAATATATTATTATTAATACTATTATTAAATTCTATCAATGCTTTAAAAAAAAACTTAAAACTTTTACCTAACAATTAATTTATTTTAACTAAATTTTTATTCTATATGTTGTTTAGTTTTAATAAAATATACAATGATTAATATGAAGTTCTAACTGTATTAATAATTTTAAAGTTAAATATATATTTGATAGTTTTTAGATATAAATAAAACTCTGTAAACTTTGAAGGATCATTTAAAAAAAACTGTCTGACATTGCAATGAGTTGTGAATCGTATTGCTTAAAATTTGATGTAATATTAATCATATTTTTTCTTAAAATAATGTATTTTCTTATTTTTCATATTTTCTCTCAAAATGATAAATCATTGGAGATTGGTTAAAGTAGGTTGAACTATGAGTTATAGATGAGTTTTATTAATTGATATTTTTTCCCTCATTCCCTTTCAACAATGTATTTAGTGAATCAACTGAAGTTGTCATAAATAGACGTCAAAGTGGTTATATGACTCAAAGTACTACAATACGTCAATAAATACTGAAATGTCATACTATAACAAGTATTTATACCGCTTATATAAAAAACTAAGTAGTGAAAGTTTAGACAATAGTATATCCAAAAGAAAAAGAGCTTTCAGAGTATCCGACACCCACGTGCAAGGGGGAATGAATAAAGTCACATTAAATATTTTCGTTTAAGACTCTCACATTCACTCGCATCATTGTCACTTTATAATTCACAAGGTTTTGAATAAATTGCATTATTGTACACTAATTACATTGAATACTTCCACACATTATTTTACTCCCTCTGTTTCATTATAAGTGTCACTCTACAGCTGTGCACACGGATTAAGGAAACAATTAATTTTACATATTTCCTATATAAAAACACAGTTACCCATACACCTAACCATATTTTAACCAATAGAAAAATTAGTTAGATAATAAAATTAATAAATTTTGCATTGAAAACTGAAAACGACACTTATTTTGTAACGCAAAAAATTCTCTACAACGACACTTAATATGAAACGGAGGGAGTACTACTAGCTTTATCTTTCCTACAGGAGCAACATTGAATGGGAACATATAAATTTTTGAACTGAATTTATTCAGCTGTTCTTTTATTGACAACATTTTGTGAGATTTTATGGATTTTCTGCCAGAGTACTGTCGATAAGCTTGACTTATGAGCAATGAGTTATGACTGATGGGACGAAACCGCAACAAAAGTTTTTAATATGATTGCACTAACTTTAATAAATTCTTTATCCTTCTTTAGATTACACTAACGAATAAATATTTAAGAAAATAGTTTTTAACGGAAAAATGAGAAAAGGAAATGAGAGACAGCGAAAGAAGAAAGGCTGGTAACCTCATGGGATGTTTCGGCTTGCTCAATTATTTCGATACTTTTGATATGATTTTGTTCCATTCCTTTTTCATTAATCGGATGTGAAAGCTATCTACTTTGTTTATTGTATAAGGATGAAGAGTTGAAAATGTTTACATTTTAAATATAAAAGTATGCAACTAAGTTTTCTCTTAGAATGTCTCTTAAATTCTTTATAAAGATGAAGTGTTATTTTGATATTTTGACTACACAAATTCTATGGTTACTACTTACTACACAAAATATAGCTGGCAACTATTATTTTCTAATCATACTGCAGACTACATAACTTTCTTATGGCTGCACAAATTTTATGGTTACTATATTCTAATATATATAAAATACAAACATGACTGGTTCCCCTTTTTCTTCTAAAAATATCTTTATAGCCTCTGTAAATTATATTTGTGCTATATAATAGTGATATTAGGTTATACTTTGCATTATGATTAGGAATAATAGTTTGTCAAATATATTTATACAGTCGAAAAGATGTTTTTATATTTTAAAGATGTTTGTTATTATAGCTTAGATGGCATAAATATTTTTTTTTGGTTATTACAAAATTTATCTGATGCAAGAAATAATTCTTTGTATAGTAAGATATCTCCCAACTAATTTTATATTAAAATCTGAATTTAAACTCAAACTTGAACAAAAGAAAATCTGAAATAAACTAACCAAATACTTATAATGATGTCATTCCTTATTATGTAACCACACATATATTAGAATATATGCCTTTTAAATTTTTTAGTTTTGTTAGTTCAGGTATCAAAGAAAACAAAGAGTCTTTTCCATTCTTTGTATATTATAAAACAAAAAATGAAAGCATTTTGATTTTATTATTTAAAATGTCTTATGCACTATTTTATTGATGTTAATATATTTACTAAATTCTAGGGAGATATTTACATGTATTAAATAAATTTTGAAGAAAAAAAATTAATTACATATGGTTTGTAAAAGAGAACAAAAGGAAATGAGAAATAATGCAAAATATTAAACGGAAATATATTATATATACCTGTAACAATAGAAAATTAAATCCAAAATAGCATAAAAATAATACATATAGAGAAAATATCTAAAAATTTCTATCAAGTCGATGTTAGTAATTTTCTCATTCCACCATCTAAATTAAAATTTCTATAATATATTATTTTTACTAGTCTGTCTTTTTTCTCTAGTCCCCTATATTTTACTATTCCCTCTGTTTTATAATAAGTGTCATTCTAACCTTTTTTTTGTTACAAGAAAATGTCACTTTACAATTTCAATACAAAATATATTTACTTTTAGCTGAAAATTAATTTAAAACTGCATTGATTTTATAAATAATTTTATTTATCTCAAATACTATTGGTCAGAAATGTATAATTAATAACATTTTACATATTTCTGCTACTTTCTTAATATGTGTGAAAAGTGTTAAAGTGACTGCTTATTCAGAAACGGAGAGAGTATTAATTACACATTCACCGTGAAAATGAAGCAGAGATTCTTCTCTATCTGAAAACAAATTCGCATTAACTCTAAAATCACTTGCAAAGACAAAGATCTTCCTCTTCTTCTTCCTTTTACCTTCCTCTGTACCCGTCTCTCTCCTATATAAACTCACCACACCATAGTGTTCATCCACCAAAGAGACTGAAAATAATGGAGAACCCACCGAATGAAACAGAGGCTAAGCAAATTCAACTCAATGGAGAAAAGAAACCAAAGGGTGGCATCATCACTATGCCCTTCATCATAGGTATAGTTACATTTCAAAATCTCTAATCATCACTTCTGTTTGATTTCTGAATATTTAATTTATAAATGTTAATTATTATGGTGAAGCTAACGAGGCGTTTGAGAAAGTGGCAAGCTATGGATTATTACCAAACATGATTATGTACTTAATCAGAGATTACAGATTTGGTGTAGCAAAAGGAACCAATGTTCTCTTCATGTGGTCTGCTGCAACAAACTTCACTCCTCTCTTGGGTGCTTTTCTCTCTGATTCTTACTTAGGTCGATTTCTCACCATCGCCATTGCTTCTCTCTCCAGTTTCTTGGTAAGTTTCAGTCTCTCTTCTCTTCAATTCTTCTTCTGCCAAGATTCACCAAACCGGTTTACCTTAACCACTCTATTCTCTGTTAACTGACTTTTGTTTGTTTGGATTTTGAGATGGTTGGTTAAGTTATTCAGTTTCGATTCTAAAGTACGACTTCCAAACAGTGTGATTTGGTTTTACTTTAACTGGAATAGAAATTTCCGACCTTGCTTCGGAACTTACAAAGAAAAAATAAGATTTCCGGTTTAGCTGCCGTTTTGTGAAAATCCGTAACTACGTGCTAGCTTATCATTAGAGTAGACTCATAGTCATAGAATCCGTAACGGATTTCGAAAAAACGGATAAACTCTTTTTAAAAGTTCTTACCATATACGTTACCATTACATAAAACCAACAGATAAACTCGTTTTGAATAAAACAATTTTCAAAAAGTATTCCAACAGAAAATAGTTATTATAAGAAACTCTAAATAATATTCTCTTCTGTCAAATAAACAATTTTCTCTTCATTCAATCATTTATTTAATTAAAGTGAGCAAGAATAACATATATTTAAAATACAATTTAACCAATCACAAAAGTTGCATCAAGATAATGTTTTTTTTAACAACTTAAATTTTATTAATTATATTTGTTAAATATCATACAAATACATATGAAAATAAAAAGCAACAAATAGTACAATGAAGATGATTAGAAAACAACACTAGATCAAGTGAAGTACATTGTAGAAATGCTTTTCTTTCGGAATGCCTCTTTATTAATAGAGTATCATATTAATAATTAATGGTATTAATAATGGTTATAAAAAATATAATAAAAATTGTACAGTATTATAAAATCATTTTTTGAAACAGTAACGTTTAGAGAAACTTGTTCAAGGATAGTGGTACGAGGTTTTTTATTTCTTTCTAGACTATTTTACAACAAAAAGATTGAATATACGAATCTATCCCCTATATATAAACAGAAGCATTACAACATGTTAGTTATGACATGTATCATCACTAGAGTGCTTCTCAAAGTTTCTAGAGAAAAATTGGTGTATATAAACATATATATATACTTTTAATTGTATTAACCATAAAACTATTATTAATATTATTCATTCTTTCCTTAAATAAAAACTACATAATTTATTTATGTGGTTAATATATATATATATATATATATATATATATATATATGAGAATTAATGATTTAAATAAGAAAGATTTGATAGAATTTGTGTAGCCTCTATTTTTTTTAATTAAATTTATGTTGTAAAAAAAAATTAAAGAATCATATTACCTATATAATAGAAATTATATTTTCATATATTTTATATTTTAAATTAAAAAAACAATTCTAAATTAATAAAATCTTTTAAATTCACATATAATATTTTTGATAAATAATTTAATTTTTTTGTTATAACAAGATACAAACGATTATAAAACTAATAAGTAAGCGTATCATTTAATAGATATTCAGACTATATATATAGTGACATTTAAATTAAAATATATACCAAATACATAAATATTTCAATTTAAAAATTTGCCTTGAACAAGTTTGAAAATTTAATAATTTAATTTTAAACTTTGAATTAATCTTTTAAGAATGATTATGAATTACTATAAAAATTCAACATCTCACATTGAAAATTATGTTATCAATTGTTTAAAAATATACAAATGATATTAAAACAATATAAATCTGAATCTTTATTTAATAGATGTCCAAATTAACAATGTACTATATATATGTTAATATCATTTACTGTTTAGATTTACTTATATAAAATTGTAAATAAACAAATGTGTTTTTTATTTATGTGTTCACACTAATTTAATATATATATATATATAGTTACTAATCTCTCATTTGTTGAATATATATAAATATTATTATTTTATGATACATTAAAATAAAAAATAAAAAATAATACGTAAACTAAGTTTTATCTATAATTTTCATCCCACTCAAATGCACAGATCTTAACTTCGTATAGTAGTATTGGAGCGGATTAATTTAGTTTCAGGCATATTCACCGTTGTTGTATCATTAAATAAGCGGGTAATAGCGACGTATTTGTGCAATATATACTATATAATATATAAATTAATAGCATAATATACAGTAATGATAGTTTTGTACAGCGTTAGTAATTTTCACACTTTGCATGTGACAGCGTCCTATGGAAAACATTGCTGCGTTATTGTTTGTTTTCTTATGTTTGTATTGCACCAAAAGTCGTTTTCATATTAAAAATTTAGCATGACAATTCCATATGTTTTGTAATATCTAATTTTCATTTTCAATAATTGCTAAATTTAAGATGTCCCTTGCAAGTGGTGTGAATGAGTCATAAGTGACCACAATGCGAACCCATAATTTCAGATGTCACAATATTCCATTTATCAGATCTAAAGAAAGGTCTGTGATTGCACAATAAATAAAGGAAACAAGCTACAAATATTATTATATACACAAATAAAACTTACTAAAAGACACTTTTATATGTGACTGCATGCAAATGCATCGGTCTGGTTTTAGGTCCAGTTTGGTTTTATTATTTTTGAAATGAAAGTGTATCTCTAAGTTGGATAACTTTAATACTACAATGCATGCGAGTTTGAATTATTTGTTTCCTATGGGCCAAGCAAGGTTTTGTTTATAGGCTATAAGGCTGGGATATATAGCACATATGGTCGATATGTAGATGTTATTAGGCTTACGAAATTTCAACCGTGTCCGTGTGCGACCATACTTTGTACAACTTGTCCGATTCTTGGGAATGTCGACCATCTTCCTTTTTAATTTTATTAGATGTTTGAATATTTGTTAATTACGACTGATTTGACATGTTGGTACAATTATTTATCCCTATCTTTTGATTTTAATTTTGGTAGGGTTAATGACATAAGACTTTACATTCGACCTACCAATATGTGGTCGTGGCCACGGTTTTGTTGCCGATATGAATATTGGAATTTTCTTCTTGGAAGTTTTTCATTAGTTAAAAAATGTTTAAACATAACGATATGTAATGTTTTCGCCAGCCGACATTGTGGGCTATAAGTAATTTAGTAAATATTTTAATAAATTTTTTTACAATTTTAGTGACATTTATGTAAGTTATAAATTATTTTTAGAATTTAGAGGTCCTATGCATATGACCGGCTGTTAAAATTAAAGCGGGTCATTTCTGAATCATATCACAGGGAATGGTGCTTCTATGGCTTACAGCAATGTTACCACAAGTGAAGCCATCACCTTGCGATCCCACAGCGGCTGGAAGCCACTGTGGATCCGCAACAGCATCTCAGTTGGCTCTTTTGTACACTGCATTTGCCCTTATATCTATCGGATCAGGCGGGATCAGACCGTGTTCTTTAGCCTTTGGAGCTGATCAGTTAGACAACAAAGAGAACCCAAAGAACGAAGGAGTTCTCGAGAGTTTCTTTGGTTGGTACTACGCTTCCTCAGCTGTGGCTGTACTTATCGCGTTCACAGGCATTGTTTACATTCAAGAGCATCTTGGATGGAGAATCGGGTTTGGTGTACCTGCGGTTCTCATGTTGATCGCTGCTTTGCTGTTTGTTCTAGCGTTTCCTCTCTATGTTAGACGCAATGTCACCAAGAGTCTCTTCACCGGTTTAGCTCAAGTGGTTGTTGCAGCTTACGTGAACAGGAATCTAACTCTACCAAATCAACAGGACTCATCGATCACTTATTATCACATGAAAGATTCTGAGCTCAAAGCTCCAAGTCACAAATTGAGGTATAGTTTTCTCATATCTCTTGAGTTCTTGATTACTTTACAAGCAAGAAAGACCATACTCTCTTGATTAGATTTTTAGACAAAGCAGTCTCTTCAATTTAGATGCTCCCTTGATTTATTTTTGTAACAAAGCTTGTTATACAAGAAACGTGATGCTCTCTTTTTAACTTTTTTTTTTCTTGATTAGGTTTTTGAATAAAGCTTGCTTAATAAGTAACCGCGAGGAGCAGATTGGATCAGATGGGTTTGCTTTTAATCCGTGGAGGCTATGCACAACAGACAAAGTAGAGGAGCTTAAGGCATTGATCAAAGTCATACCGATATGGTCCACAGGTATAATGATGTCCATAAACACTAGCCAAAGCTCGTTTCAGTTGCTGCAAGCCACTTCCATGGACAGGCGCCTGAGCCGCCATAGTTCAAGCTTTCAAATACCAGCTGGATCATTCGGTATGTTTACAATCATAGCCCTAGCCATGTGGGTCGTTCTATATGACCGTGCTGTCATCCCATTAGTTTCAAAGATCCGAGGTAGACCTTTTAGACTCAGTGTTAAGTTAAGAATGGGGTTAGGGCTATTCATGTCATTCTTAGCAATGGCGATTTCCGCAATGGTGGAAACCTTGAGAAGGAAGAAAGCTCTAAGCCAAGGGTATGCAAACAATGCTACTGCTGTTGTAGACATATCGGCCATGTGGCTTGTGCCACAGTATGTGTTACATGGACTAGCAGAAGCTCTTACCGCGATAGGACAGACCGAGTTTTTCTACACCGAGTTTCCTAAAAGCATGTCTAGCATCGCGGCATCTTTGTTTGGTCTAGGAATGGCTGTGGCTAGTCTCTTGGCTAGTGTGATCCTAAACGCTGTCGATGAACTGACATCGAGAAATGGTGAAGATAGTTGGGTGTCAGACAACATTAACAAGGGTCATTACAACTATTATTACTGGCTACTAGCCATCATGAGCTTCATCAATGTGATCTATTACGTGATATGTAGCTGGTTGTATGGTCCTTTGGTCGACCAGGTGGGGAATGGTAGGGTTAATGGTGTGAGAGAAGAAGAGGAGTTGCTTAACATTGTTGGCAAAGGATTTGAAAAGGAAGATCTAAGAGACGTTGTTAAAACAAATTAAGGAGTTAATGATCTTGCAAGATTGTGTTTTGTCTATAAAGGGAGCGAAAGCTATAGGATTTGTTGTTTATTGCATTTGGTATGGGTGTTCTACTCAGGTATTAAGTTCTACATAAAATTTGTAATTAGATTAAATTGTGTGTTTGAATTTTAGGGGTTTTTGATACAAAAGAGCTTTGTGATGCTTGGCTATGTAATTATTTTACATGCCAAATTGTTTGTGGTGTTTATTGTGTCATTTCAATTGATGGTGTCTTCGTTGTATATATTTTTGGTGTGTTTTCTTCGTTTTATTCTTATCAGTATTATGTAAAATGAAAAGCCCGTTGAAATAAAAATGCTAGGTTTTCAATCTTTAAAAACAAAAGAGTTGGCCATGCTAGATTTTCTTTTTAATTATCAACAGGTTTCGGATCATTCTATAATTTTTATAACTGAAAATAAAAGCAAGGTAACCTAATTGTTTATCCATAGTCCGAGTTTGTAACTTTGCAAACCAACCGAATTGAGGTAAGTATCTTAACCTTTATCAATTAGTTAAAACCGCAAGGGCTGAGGAAATGTAGAGCAAACCCGTTGACAAAAACAACAACCAATTTAGTTACATCAAAAACAACACTTACACAATAATCAACAACTGAAACAAAAAAAATCGTACCAATTTAGTTACATAAGGAAAAAACAAAAACAACAAGGTCCAAAAACTTGAACAGATCGATGTCATTGTTTTACATTATATAATACATATAACACACTTGTATTGAATATTGGTCGAAATTAATGTGTATAAAATTTGGAGGTTAACTAAGATATAAATCTTTATTTAGACATATATTGCTCTGGTGGAGCAAAGCTTGGTGCGTCACTCTCATGTTGTCCTTGCCTCTGAGCAAGTATCCCATTCCAACCTGCAAATATAAACAAAATTTATTCACAAATATTGAATAAAAAAATATAGACATTATCTTTTATATAGAATTAAATAGTTATTTCCTCTAAGAAAAGCTTATAATATTTCTAGATCATGAAACAGCCTGTTAAGAATTTAACTATGATCGATCCACAAAATGTAAATCAAAATATCATATACTCATAAAATTCAGTTATGATAGAAGCAAAATACTTTCCCTCTAACCAATTATACTAACAGCATTTGAACATATATAAAAGTAAAAGTTTCATGATATACTCTAACTCAAAACCTGTGTCTGAGGGTGATATACCCATGTATGGACAAGTTAGAGGTTAATCAAAGTTGATGTTGAACAAAAAAAAAACTCAAATAAATTTAAGAGGGGAGTTTTAAGTTAGTACCCAAAGAAGGATCAAGATTCCTAGCCTTGAGCTCTCTGTATTCTTGACAAAGAGAGCAACAGGAGCATAAGACATGAGTGGCACAATCTGAATATGGAGCCTCCACAAGATTAAATCTTCTCCGCATTTTTTCCCTATACTTTGATCCCATCACCCACTGTGAGCACAAAGCTGGCATCATCAACAAGTATATGAAACTTCCAAGAGGACAAGCTGCATAAACAATTGTGTATATGAACTTCATATTAGTGAATTAATCTGATTTCGGTTTCAAATTGTGTAAACCGTAAACATACTCATCTCTCCTTCATCCAACACCTCAGCTATTTGTCCGAATGTCACACATGGTAAGATTGCTGTCATCACGGCTGACCAAAATAAGAAAATTTAGTGTCCATTAATATTGACTAACAAAGAGTATCGACTATAAAAATGCTACATATGAAAAAACAATGAAAAAAAGATTGTACATATGGAGTACAATACCATTGGTTTGGTCTTCTTGACAATCAAACAAACCAGTCCTCCAAGGAGTCCCAACCGATATGTTAACATTAGCTTGGTGATAACTGGGTGGCGCGAATGGACTCATGGGAACTCCGGTTTGTTGGATTGGTATACCAGTATCTGGATTGTCCCCTTGTGGAGTAGTAACACGACCCATTTTGGTTGATATGTAAAGTGTAGCTGAGCTAGTTTGACGTGAAGAGTTGATTTATAGAACGATAAGCTTTTTTTCCTTAGCTTATTAAAAAAAAAAATAAGCTTTTTTCCTTGCTTATTAAAAAACATTCAATAGAAGAGTTGCGTTTTTCTTATTGATAAGACAAAGAAATTTGTAATCTCTTACGCCGAAAAGAAAGAAGAAATTTCGGATTACGTAGTTCACATTTAAAATTTGACTTTTCAACGGTGGAGATTTTAAAGTCAATGGGTTATACGAGTATATGTCTTAATCAAAGTCAACGTCTAGACCCTATATTGTATATCCTTTTGATTTTATTTTGTTTTTCAAACAAGTTGCGAGGAAACACCAGATAAATCTGATTAGATATCAAATTTCTTGTTCTAAACAAAAATTTGAATCATATTTTTTTTACAAGTAGGTCTTTAAGATTGATACAAAATATCTCGATTTCTAATTTTAAAATAGGAAACGTGTTATTCAATATAAAGAAAAAATTGCAACTCATTTGGATATCCATATATATGTATATTATTTTATTAATACATCTTTTATTAGTTAAAATATTATAATAATAAAATATTAATTGTGTTTTATTTTTTGAAACCATAATATTTATACTTTCATTTAACAATTCTTACATATATTTCTTTGTAATTTATGTTCACTATTAAAAATGATTTTAACATCAAATAATATTTTTTCAATTATATAAAATTAAGAAGTTGACTTGATTAATATTTACTTATGTATCTATACTATTATATTAGAAGTAAATTTGCTTAGTTGTCAAATTCTCCTTGATTTTAGGTAAATTTGTTTATTTACTTTATTTAAATAATTTTATTTAATAAAGAAGAATTTATATTAATAATATTCTATTTTAAAAATAAGTTAATTATTTTGTATTAAATTTTTATCTTAAAAATATATTTTTCTATTGTAAAATTCAAGTGAATTTACTGATTGATTTGTAACTTCTCCATTTTGTAGTTTTGCTTATTTGTTATATTTTTAATAATTTTATGAATAATTATCATATAATAAAACAAATTTCTATTAATAATATTATAATTTTAGAAAATAAGATAATTCTTATGTATTATATTGTTATGTTTAAAATATTTTTTTATCATAGAAAGTAATATTAAGTTAAAATATTAATAGTTAAATATAAAGAAAGCAATGTTGATTTATCAACTTCTCCATGGTTTTATATTTTGCTTACTTATCATATTTTAATAATTTCATATATAATTTATTAAATAATAAAACGAATATATCTTAATAATACTAGATTTAAAAAATAAGATAATTCTTATGTATTAGATTGTTATCTGGAACATATATTTTCTATTAGAAAATTTAAGTGAATTGTCTGATTTGTAATTTCTCCATGATTTAGATAATTTGGATTATATGTCATATTTTTAATAATTTCATATAAATCTATTAACAAATTTTATTTTAAGAAAATAAGATACTTCTTATGTATTATATTGTTATCTTGAAAATATATTTTTATTATAGAAATAAAAAATTAAGATAGAAAAAACTATAACTAAAATAAGTTAAAGTAACACATTTGTAAAAATATATTTTTATGTGAGTGTTTTCATTTATAATTAATTTTAAAACATAAATCATTACTTATTATATTGGTTCGAATTGATAAAATATAGACTAATAATAAATTATACGAAAATTATGCCCGCACGTGCGGGCAAAACACCTAGTTTTCTATTATTTTAATTGTTAACGGTTTTATCAAAATATATTTTTAGATAACATCACAATATATATTAGAGTTATCTTATTTAAAAAGATATTATTTATATTTTGGATATTCTTATAATTATTATTAATTTTAGTTACTTATCTAATCAAAATCATTTAAATTCGTTTTTATTTTGTATGTAATCTATATATTATTTTCATTAAGGGTATAAACGATATTAACCACTCTAACTTTTAACGTGAGAGTTCCGTTGCGAAAAATCACTTCGCAAATAATAGTATAGACTAGGTGTTTTACCCGCACATGCGGCTTAATTATCTTTAAATCAATTTAAAAAATCATCTAAATAAATGATTATTTGCATCAAAAAATTTAACTCAAAATATTAAAAATATTTACATGATAAAGTTATTCACAAATTAAAATAAATATACTTCTTCCTTTTAAGCTTTAAAAAATCTAGTCTATTTCCTTTCTTCTTAACTGATAAAATATAGAAATTTATCTTTCAATTTGAAAAATTGAATCAAGAAATATACATTCAAAAATTGAATATTAGTTTGGATAATAATACAATATATTTAAAATTTATTTTTTTCAAATACATATTTTCTTTCTATTTGAATGAACTTTTATTTTATTAAGATTAATTCATGTTTAAGGTTTAATTATATAAAAAAATAAAAAATAATTTAACGTGTGAGTCCAGAGGTAAAAAATAACTTCGCATATATAAATATATATATATATATATTATATTATATTATATTATATTATATTCTTTTAATTTGAAAATAATTACGTATTATAATTTTTTTAATTTTCTATTTTCAATTATATACAATTAAAATTTTACTTTATGAATATTTATTTATGTGTTTTCTGTTTTTGATTTTTTTGACTAAATATATTTTTTGGATAACAACACAATATATATAGGAATTATCTTTTTTTTTTAAATATATATTTAGATTATGGATAATTCTTATCCTTGTTAGTAATTTAAATCATTTATCTAATCAAATAAATATTAAATTCGTTTTTATATTGGATGATTTATATATTTATTCATTAAGGGTATAAACGATATTAACCACTCTAACTTTTAACGTGAGAACTCCGTTGCGAAAAATCATTTCGCAAATAATAGTATAGATATATTGTTGAATATGTTCTGCTTCTAAATATAAAATAAATCTGAATACTAAGATCTTACAAATAAACAAACTGTGTTTAAGCTAAAACTGATCATGATGTCTTAATA